AGAATGAAAAAATGAAGGCAGAAGGGAAAGGAACAGTTGAAGGAAGTTCATGTATACTGAATGATGTACTTTTTGTACCCGAATTAAGTAAAAATCTACCGTCAGTTAATGCTATAACAGAGAATGATGGTGAAGTAACATTTACTAAAGAAAAAGTAGTAATAAGGAAAAACAATGAAAAAATACTTGAAGGAAAAAAAATTGAAAGTGGTTTATATATGGTTAGTATAAATCAAAGTAAGGAAGAGAGTTATCTTGCAGAAAATACTTCAGTAAAAGACTGGCATAGAAAGCTAGGACATTTGGGAACAGAGAATATAAAAAGATTAATAGATCTATCGACAGGCATGAAACTGAATAAAAAGAAGTGTCAAATGGGTTTCTGTGAAGTCTGCATGGAAGCAAAGCAAACAAGACTCCCTTTTAATACAACGAGACAGAGGGCAAGACGACCACTAGAAATTCTACATACAGATGTATGCGGCCCAATCGATCCTGAAACTTGGGATGGAAAACGATACATTTTAACAGTGTTAGATGATTATACTCATTATTGTAGAATTTTTCTATTGAAGTATAAGAGTGAAGTATCAGAACATTTAAAAGATTTTATTAGAGAAGCAGAAGCTTATCATAATCAAAAGGTGGTAAAAATACGTTGTGACAATGGTGGTGAATATACGTCATCGAATTTTAAACTCTGGACAAAAAATAAAGGCATTGTTCTGGATTATTCTATACCCCATAGTCCACAACTAAATGGAAAAGCAGAAAGATTAAATAGAACCTTATTGGAAAAGGCAAGAGCGATGATATTTGACAGCAAGCTAAGTAAAGATTTTTGGGGCGAAGCTGCGTATGTAGCAGCGTATCTGTTAAATCGAAGTCCTACAGAAGCAATAGACAAAACACCAATAGAATACTGGACCAAAATGAAACCTGATCTGTCCAGATTACAAATATTTGGTTCTGTAGCATATGCAAAGACACTGGGAAATTTACACAAACTTGACCCTAGAAGTAAAAGGTATCTTTTTGTAGGATATGCACCAAATGGTTACCGCTTATGGGATGAAAAATCTAAGGAAATAAAAATACACCGAGATGTTATCTTCAATGAACCAGGTAGTCAATCTTTGGCTGATTACAGAAGAACAAGCAAAATAAATGTTATAGAAAGCGACGAAGAAAATCAGGAACAGAATGCAGAACTAGAAGAAAACAATACAGGTGAAAATTCACAAACCGAAACTGAAAATGAACAAGACATTGGACAAAAACCAAATCAAATAGAAGTACAAAATATAATTTTGGGAGAAGGAGAAGGCATCACAGACTCAAGAAGAGGAGAAGGCATCACAGAATCAAGAAGAGGAGAAGGCATCACAGAATCAAGAAGAGGAGAAGGCATCGCAGAAACAAGAAGTGGAAGAAAATTAAAACAATCTGTAAAACTTAAAGATTATATTGTGAACTTTGTTGAAGAAGAAGCGTTATTGACTTATGAAGAAGCAGTCAAGGGACCAGAAAAGGACAAATGGCTTGAGGCTATACATGAAGAAAAAGAATCTCTGAATAAAAATCTTACATGGAGTTACGTGAATATAAATGAAGTAGACAAACATCGCATTCTGACAAGCAAGTGGGTATTCAAAGTTAAAGATAATGGAAAATATAGAGCAAGGTTGGTAGTAAGAGGGTGCCAACAACATAAGGGAATAGATTACAACGAAACATTCAGTCCAGTTGTGAACATAAGCTCAGTAAGAATAATGTTAGCACTGGCTGCCAAGTATAATATGTCAGTTACCAAATTTGACGTAAAAACAGCATTTTTGTATGGAAGTATTTCAGAAGAAATTTTTATGCATGTACCAGAGGGGTTTAAATGTGAACAAACTGAAAACAAAGTGTGTAAATTGTCGAAATCGCTATATGGCCTAAAACAAGCTCCTATGCAATAGAATGAACGTTTTACTACATCTTTAAAACTGAATGGTTTAAAACCACTGATTAGTGATCAATGTTTATTTACAAATATAGAAAAGACCATGTTATTAGCAATCTTTGTAGATGACGGATTATTGATCAGCAAATGTGAAGAAGAAATGAAATCGTTATTGAAAAATCTTCAAACCGAATTTGAAATGACAAGTGAAAAAAATCCTAATAGGTTTTTAGGAATTAGTATTCAAAAACATGATGGAAAAGTTATACTTTCACAACAAGATTATGTACAAGCAACTTTAGAAAAATTTAATATGCAAAACTCCAAACCTGTACCTACGCCCATGGTCAAACAAGATATAAGTTCAGAAGATAAAATGGTAAAAATTAATTATCCAGTCAGAGAAGCTGTTGGAAGTTTATTATATTTAAACAACAAGACCAGACCAGACATATCATATGCAGTGAATTACTGTAGTAGAAAAATGGAAACTTTTTCAAATCAAGACATTGTAACAGTAAAAAGAGTGTTTCGCTATTTGATATCTACAAAAAATGATGGACTGTGCTACGATGGCCAAAACAGTGAGAGATTGATTGCCTATTGTGATTCAGATTTTGCAGGGGACACTGAAACACGCAGAAGTACAACAGGGTACATAATATTTTTTTGTGGTGGACCCATATCGTGGTGTTCCAGGAAACAGCCAATAGTTTCACTTTCAAGCACAGAAGCTGAGTATATATCTGCCGCAGAATGTGTTGAAGAACTTCTTTACCTCAAATCTCTAATTGATGAACTTACCAATGGTGAAGTGAAGATAGATTTGTACGTTGATAATCAGAGTGCAATCTCAATAGTGAAAACCGGACAGTTCAATCGACGGAGCAAGCACATAGATGTAAGATTTCATTTTATAAATGAAAAGGTGCGAGAAGGTATTATAAACATAAAGTACTGTTCAACTGAAAAACAAATCGCCGACATATTTACCAAACCTCTTGGAAACATTAAATTTGAAAACCTGAAAGAACAATTTATGTCAAGCATCAATTAATAAAATTTGGAGAAGGTGTTAATGAGTTGTTGATGGAAATGAAATTTTAATAAGAGTGTTAATTTTATATTGGAACAGTTGCTATGTAAAAAAAAAATAATAATTATAAATAAATGATTAACAAAAGTTAATTTTCCAATTTTCTAATAGAAAGAAGTAAAAGTAAAAACCAGAAATCACAACAGATATTACAGGTTTTCGGTTGTTGTAAAATCGTTTTGGTGTCACTCCTTTCGCTCAATTGTGTCGTGTATCAAGTCGTATTCAGAAATAGATGAAACAGGTAAGACCAAAGTTTACAAATTAATTCACCCATTCCCGAGATGTCAAATTAATTAAGATGAGCACTGATTTAACTAAATTACAGTCAAGAGAGATCAAATTTTCTCAAGTAAGATTAAATTATTCGTTTTAATTCTTAACTGGAAATGACACTATATTTCACGAATTCCAAATAAGCCACACGACGGCTTAACATTTACTTGACAAACGAAATGCTCTGGCCGACAGTGGGTTAATATATTTCTGAAATAATTAGCACTCGTTGAACTTTACCCTTTTTCTGAAAACGGAAGTTAGGATTTCGTGAATAAACGTCATCGTTTTCCCTACTCAGGACGCGTTGCTCGCTTAAGCTGGTTTAAAGAATCTTAACTTGTTTTTATTTTCATTTAATTAGAGCGCTTTATATCCTCCTGCGAAAGTACAACTATATTTCATTTTTCACGGACACACTGACATTTCATATTAAACAATTACACCTTCTTTGTAGAGCGTACAAGTTGGCGGCTTAAGATTAAAATTGTCGCCCGGATATTATGTGAACGAAATGTGGAATATGAAATATGGGGAGCGTCTACTGTCTTATTAAATTTCTCGGCATTTCGCTTTTAAAAGGTAAAATCCGTCTGAATTTACCGTGGAACTGTAAATTAAAAAAAATATATATTACAAAAGAGAACCATTACTTTTTTTATTTCGCATTAAACTTGTTATACCTGCAACCCGTTAAAAGAACTTTGACCTATCCACAACATAAACCAGAGCTCTAACATCGAAATCCTCCCCTTCCTTAATATCTCTTAATAATTCCACACCAGCTCGCTCAGAATAAACACCCTCGTCTGTAACATGTTTTTAATAAACCTAACCTACCTTTCGTAGCTTAAGCAATTAAATCCTGTCACGTCCGCCGATAATAAGGGTGACCCATTCCCGGAGGCGGCGACCACCAAACCAAATTTCCTGTCTATTAACCCAACAATACCCCCACCTGCGGCCGTCCCTTTAATAACTCGAAATTCAGTCCTGAATTGTCGCCCGAAGGTATGCAATATAGCTCACGTGCGGGCGTTAGCGGCACGGGATCCTCTAATATGTCCATAATCCCTGTGTGGATTAACCCCGATCTGGGGCAATACCGTCAATAAAAGTCGCATTCCGGGCGAGCGCCGCTCCGGGCAAGCAGGGGAGAGTGGCGCAAGACGAACATCGAAACAGGTGTTTTCGAGCGGAAGCAGGGGCAATCAGAACTTGGAGAACTTTGTAAATGTAAATGTAGAATAAATCACGGAATTGTAAATTAACATAACCGTACGAAGGGTGAGGGTGCAACCGATGTGTTAAAAGTGCAAATGACACGTGAACCTGTATAGTGTGGATCAAGTGTTTGTGCAATAACAAAATCAAATTACTATTGAAACATGGAGGCGTAGTGAGTTTGAGGTGATTCTATGAATATGTAGATTGGTTTCTGATGGAAATAAACAAGATAGATAATAGTTTTAAGTCGGGATTGTACTGACAGAAGTAAAACTGTAAATAAAAAATATAAACTAGTGAGACTATAACTATTCAAATATTAAGAAAATAATTGTCTGATTATTATTATTGGAGTGCCTTGTCTCGTTCCACCTTGCCCCACCGTCCCTATTTCCCTTCAAGCGAGACGGGTTTGTGTGGACTGATGAATTGCTAGTATTGTTTTCGTTACAGTATGGAGCGGAGGACTGGACCTGCAAGGGCCTTTGTTCTTGCACGAACCGCCCCACAGGGTGGAATTCAGCAATTCCGCGGGGGCCAAAGTGGACTGCACTGCACACGGGAGCCCGTCTCCGGAGGTGGAGTGGGTGCTTGCTGACGGTTCTCCGGTGCATCAGGTATCAAATTTTGATTTAAATTTTAGAAAAATTAAAAAAATATGCCTCAAGTTTTCTACAGCGGTTCTTGCAGCAGCAATTTCAGATAAAGATGATTAATAGCATCTGCTTTCTTTGTCAGTTTACTTGAGCTGCAATTTGAAATTATTAAAGAGCATTATTGTCTGAACTCGCTTCATAAACTAAATTAATCGCGGCTTTTCCTGTACTCTGCAATTGTCAGAAGATAAATTGAAAATTGTTTTCAGTAAGAAATAAATAAAACAAAATCTACCGTAAGCCGCGTCAGGGTAACTATTGCTCTTTCTCGTTTTATTGATTCAATTTTTAATTTATTGTTGTCTGTCAGAAATACAACGTAGTCGTCTTTCACAAAATCAATTTAATAAATTTGTTGACCCTTTGACTTTTACTTAATTATTGTTTACACCGTTCCTTTTTTGTAAAAGAAAATTTGAAAAACGGTTAAAACCCTCATCTCGATATGCAGCGATCTCTACAAACAAATAACTCAAGTAAACATTTCTTGCATGCTTTTACCCAAAGGGGTATTACCAATAAAGCTTCTATCGGACTCTTCATCCACTAAATAACACAAACGCCCAGGGAGGATTTCTCTGGCTTTCCATGCCAAGAAACATCTTCAACTTTTCTAAACCTACCTTCACCGAAGAGTAGTCTCAAGCGACCATCTCCAGATTTACCGAATCGTACAAAAAGACTCGAGCTTGAAACAAAACAAAAAAAGTCGATCGTCGCTCTGAAGTACAAAGTAACCAGCAATTTTCTTTTGAAATATTGCTCCGTGGAGACCCCTCGCGCTTCAGCATTTTCAACTTTGTAATAACTTTTCATCAAGCTTCGACGTTGTTCGAAAAAAAAATACATTTATTTTCGTCTAATTACCTGTCTGTTATTAAACTAGAGCACCGTCGATTGACACAGAAAGTCGTTTTAACTTCCATTAATGTTATTTTTGGGTAAAAATTGGACGACGCGAAAATACAGTAGCTAAAATGTTAATTATCTTGAAATAGAATTTTTCTAGTTTCTGTTGGGGGGATTATTTAGGCCGTAGCCCGAGGCATCACAGTTATTGGTATTTTCGACGATCCAATATCGGAGTTTTTTATTTATTCAGATTCTGTAAATCTAAAATTAATATCCGTCGGAATTCCAATACGCCGAACCGTTTTTGTCGGCCTTTTTACCTCGCTCCGAGTAGTTTAAAAAGTTCGGATTTATCTTTATTAGCGGACTTACGAGCTTGTAAATTTCGTTGTGCGTTTAATTTGAACATGAAAAATGTGCACAGTTTTATAAGCTGAGAAAGTGCGAGGTGCTTTCGGCTCAAAAGAAATATTTTCTTAATATAAATCTCGCGTCTACTGGCTCTACTCTAATAAATGAATTCTGTTTGAATGAAGATTCTAATCCAATTTAAGTTCGGAACTTTTTTATGAATTATGCTTCACATTGCACGGCAGTGCTCAGTGAAAAGGAAAAAATTTAATAAATGTGTTCGATATTTGCAAGGGTGTTGAAGGAAAGCTCCTTTAGGGTGCGTGTGTATGGAAAATAAAATATTTTATTCGTTTCGCCCATCCTTTATCCGATTTTTTCTTGCAGATGGAAACGGCTTGTAGCAAAAATTTCAATAAATTATTTCGAGGTTGTATACCAAATAACGGTTGTTTTTCCAAACGTGATAAAGAGAACATGTTAAACATTAAATAAATTTCACGCTCGTTTAAAATTATTGCTAAATGAGACTGTGCTATTTACACCTCTGACACTACTCCGTTTTGATTTTCCAACACAGGTTTGTTAAATTGCGTCACTAAAAAACTCCGCCTGTGGCAACACTTTCATCATCTCAAAAACTCTGGTCGCGTTCAAAATTCTAATTATATTTCTCTACATTTTTTCCGTTTGTTTTCGTGTTAATTACTTTTTTGTCCAGTAAATTTTGAGTACAGGTTTATAGGGATGGGATGCATTAGGCGTCCAACTCCCCCAGAAATATAATATACCAACCTGTTTTTGTAAGTATTGCACGGTGGTAGAATTTAAAACGTCGTCAAGGTTTAAGAATGGATATTTGTTTATTTATTTCCGAGTCAGAAGGATTAAAAAATACCACAATATCTCATCAAAATTCTGATACTTTGATGTTGCGAAAACAATTTGCGCTCTACATATCTGGAAAAATAATAATTTATACTCGGCGGCAATTTCATTTAAAAAGCAGCTGTATCGCAATGAAAATATTTTCGTTTCGGTAACAATTACAAACTAAATGTGTATTTTAAAAGATATGTATTCTGATAAAAATATTTTCATGTGCTCTGTTTTCTTGTGTATTTAGCTGAAACATGTTCCGAAAAATCATACATAAAACATTTATTAAAAAAATCAATAACAACGTTATGATTACGCAGTTTTTTCCACGATACGAAATCAGAGAACTGTATTTTTAATAACAACAGCTGCTGCTTTCATTTTACCCAGTGAAACAACTCAGCCGTGTTGTAACTCAAATAATATGTCCAACTTCACACCCTTAATCGTTCATAAACTAGTAAAAATCACGCTTCTATGGCTTTCAGGAGATATCCTCGGCTATGTATGGAGCTTTTTATTTCCAGACAGTGCTCGTGGCTCTGTTCCAATCTGAATTATGTCGTTTTTCAGGTTCCAGAACTGAGGCTGCTATTCCCTAACGGCTCTTTGGTTTTTCCGCCGTTTCCAAACGAAAGATACAGGCATGATGTACATGCCACGCTCTACAGGTGCAAGCTAAAAAGTGCTTTAGGAACGGTGATTAGTAGGGAAGTGCACGTCAAAGCAGGTGAGTTATAATTATTGCCACGAAAAAAATTGGCGCCCGAAGTCGTAGTCTGTGCAGACTTTCCACGCCCACGTAGTTCCCACAGCCGATTTAAGATATCATTACAAAACGAAAAACCCGCATTTAGTGCAACCCTCGGCCATCTCTCTTCTCGCGGAAAAATACAATCTCACGCACCCTCATAAACACCACTCGCCCCCGAAAAACAAAAAATTCTATTACCCCTCGGGGCTATTTACGACCGACAATATTTACTACAAGTTGGTGTAAATTTCGGGATTTTGGGGCTTAAGATTGCCCACACACATATTGGATTGAATTTTTCTGGCGAATTCACAATATCGACTCAATTTATACGTTCCGATAAGACATCGGCATTATACCGAGCTCCCGGATGATTTGTGGTGATGCTTTATCTTTTTATACCAATACAAATTTCAAATTTTCGGATGCCGGATAAGCTTATGCTTCTGTGTTTTAGCCGCAAGATATACAGCCTCTGTTACGATTTATGGTCGCTCATTTGCATTTAAGATAACCACTCTACATTCACAATTCGTTGCTTTTTCGCGGGCTGCAATTTTGAGTATTACTATCCGCGGGGAGCGCCGAGATGATGGAGTTTGGTTAATCAGCTAGACGGAGATTATAATCAACGTTTATAGTTACTTATTCGTTTCACACTTGCCTTTTTCTCGCACATGATGCAATGTTATAAACCTCGAACGACTTTGCTCACTTTCAACAAAGCCGAGTTCCGCAAACATCTCTTAGCTCCTATCCAAGTTCAACTAAATCTGTTCTATCGGCTTACAATGTCATGGCAACAGTTTTTGTGCATGAGGTAAGGAATATTGATGACAGATTATCTCAGAAAAAGTCGAGCGATCCGTCGAGAATACTTCGTTGCGTTTCAGATTCAGTTACGAAGAGAATCCACTGTTGACAAGGAAGATTTATTCGGAGCAGTCTGCAAACATAATGAATTCGTAATAATTCAGATTTGTTTTTGTCAATGTGCAAAGCTAGAGTAGCCGGAGAAGGAGGCAGGTTTATTGGATTTGTGCAGTTTGTCGAGCGACGGCGGCTAATTAAACAGGCAAAAGTTGCGTAGTTTCAATACACGAAACAGAATAATAAACAACGTTAACATTCGAGAGCAGGAGAAAATTTTCGTTACATTGTAGATATAAATATCATTTTGGAAGAGTTTATTACGTCGAGGGGTGGTTTTAATTATTTTGTAAAATATCGTTGTGTTGAGCGAAACGTCAGTGCTTTTAGCCCCTCTGTCCCACGAATTTAACAGGGTCACCTTAACTGCCATTCTTATGGCCAGCTGAAAATAAATACAGTGTTATGCTTTAATATTAATAACCCATAATCCGTCTTTATCGCCGTTTCCTAGCTTTTAAGGCCCCCAAAACGCGTCTCTAATGTTTTATCAATACTTTATATGTAGAAAAATTTATAGCCAAGACTGAACGTCATAACTGTCAAATGAGCTTCGCACCCACTATATACCTATTTAACTTTTCTACCTTCGAATTTCCATCACGTATAGTGACATTAACTGGTATCAGCAAGAACACTCTTCGACGTGCGTCGTAAAAGCCGAAATAAAATTTCGATCAAGTTGTCGGCGAGTTGAGTGCGCTTTTTCTTGGGCAATTAATAAATCGTTGAGGCGAAGTTTTAATGACGTGACGTCAGCTGCAGCAGTGCAAAAGTGCAGAGTGTTAGGAAGTAAAGTAAAGACGGGTTTCAGAAATAACGCGGTTCGTTAAGGAACATGTAGCAGGAGAGAGAAGTGCAAAAAAGATAAAGCTTGAGCTTGAAACTTGACATAATATACAGCATGTCTGTCTGAAAAAGTAAATTACGATTTACTGTTGAAATATCGCAATTTTCGAATTTTTAGAAAATTTTAGAATAGAAGAAACTATGTTCTTCTGACTGCTAGGATGTAAAAAAAATTAAAAAACAACTTTAACCGTAATTTTTTTGTTGAACTGTCTACTATAAAATTCATTTATTATTTCATGCAACTTGACCTGACTTGGCCTAAAATCAACTGACCTGTCTTGACTTCTCTATTGTCGAAAATCTCTTCAACTAATTTTCGGAAATGGTTGAAAAATGTTAAAAGTGCCAAAATCAGTCTTATCTTATCAAATACTAGCCCCGCCCACCCACCCTCTTTTTTTTTTGGAAGGTATGTCATTTGCCAAAATCAGTCTTATCTTAGCAAGTATTACTACCAACCACCCCCTCTTCTCATTCTAACTAATTTTATATCTGTTAAGTATAAGAATATTCATTTCATTCAGATCGGAAAATATCAATCACTGAAAAAGAGACAGGGTGGGTGGGCGGGGCTAATTATGTACCTTTGTCGAGTGGGAGTGCAAATTAATAATAGAATCTAGGATGTGAAAAAAGTAAAAAAAACCGTTGGTCGAAAATGTCAACAATGCCAAAATCAATCTTAACTTATCAAATACTAGACCAGCCCACCCACCCTCTATTTTCTTAGAGGATATGTTATTTGCCAAAATCAGTCTTATCTTAGCAAGTACTAGCCCCGCCCACCCGCCCTTATTTTCTTGGAGGTATGTCATTTGCCAAAATCAGTATTATCTTAAGCATTAGCCCCGCCCATCCCCCCTCTTTTCATTCTAACAACAAATTTTATTTCTGTTCAGTATAAGATCTAATTTTTCGATTTCTCGATGTCTCAATTTTTGAATTTTTCGATGTTTCGATTTTTTACCTTTGGGCTTTTCAATTTTTCAATTTTTAAATTTTAGATTTTCACATTTGTATTTTTAGGTTTTTTGATGTTTGGATTTCTCGATTTTTCAATTTGCCATATTTTAATTGTTCAATGTTTTAAATTTTAAATTTTTTTATTCCCGATTTTTTGAATTTACTATTTAAAAAATGTTGCACGGTGAGCAGACACGTGTCATATTTATGAAATTAGTACGTCGAGATTTACATTCCTGAATTTTTTGAGAATTTTTTGACAACTTTTTAAAAATGAAATTTTTCTAATACTCTTCCTCAAATTCTTCAAATTTCTCTCACTCACTTCCGGCCTCGTTTCTTTCATAAGTACAACAGTTTTTCCAGAATCGGTTGTCGAAATATTGAAATTTTTGAAATTTTTGAAAAATTTGTGTTTAAAACCGAACTTTTTTAAAATGTTTGGCGCCATATTTGTGGAACCAGCACGTCAAGATCTACATCCCTGAATTTTTTGAGAATTTTCGACGACTTTTTTAAAAATGAAATTTTTGAAATTTCGACCCGTTTTTTAACATTTTCGAAACTTAACTACATTAACTACATGTTCTTATAGATCTAGAGCCCTAGAACTTGCTTCCGGCCTTGTTTCTTTGATAAATCCAACAGTTTTTCCAGAATCGACCGTCGAATTATTGAAATTTTTGGAATTTTTGAAAAATTTTAATTTAAAACTGAACATTTTAAAAATGTTGGGCGGTGAACACACATTGCCTATATTTTTGGAATCAGCAAGTCGAGATCTACATTACTGATTTTTTTGAGAATTTTTTGACAACTATTTTAAAAGTGAAATTTTTCCAGTTCTAACAAATTCTTCAAATTTCGACCCATTTTTGACCATTTTCGAAACTTAACTAGATACATTTTCTTGCCGATTTCGAGCCCTGGGACTCACTTCCGGTCTCGTCCCTTTGTTTACTCCAACAGTCTTTCCAGAATAGACCGACGAAATATTGAAATTTTTGGAATTTTTGAAAAATTTGCCTTTAAAACCACACATTTTGAAAATGTTACGCGATGACATGCATGCGCCATATTTTTGGGATCAGCACGTCAGGATCTACATCCCTGAATTTTTTGAGAATTTTCGACGATTTTTTTTAAAGTGAAATTTTTCAAATTTCGACCCATTTTTTGACATTTTCGAAACTTAACTACAATAACTACATGTTCTTATAGATTTAGAGCCCTAGAACTTACTTCCGATCTCGTTTCTTTGATAAATCCAACAGTTTTTCCAGAAACGGCCGTCGAAATATTGAAAATTTGAAAAAATTGTGTTTAAAACCAAACTTTTTAAAAATGTTTGGCGCCATATTTTTGGAATCCGCACGTTAAGAGCTACATCCCTGAATTTTTTGAGAATTTTTGACGACTTTTTTAAAAGTGAAATTTTTTAAATTTCCACCCATTTTTTACCATTTTCGAAACTGAGCTACATTAACTACACGTTCTTACCAATTTAGAGCCCTAGAACTTACTTCCGGCCTCGTTTCTTTGATAAATCCAACAGTTTTTCCAGAATCGACCGTCGAATTATTGAAATTTTTGGAATTTTTGAAAAATTGGAATTTAAACTGAAAATTTTAAAAATGTTGGGCGGTGAGCACACATGGGCTATATCTTTGGAATCAGTACGTGGAGATCTACATTCCTGAATTTTTTGAGAATTTTTTGACAACTATTTTAAAAGTGAAATTTTTCCAGTTCTACCAAATTCTTCAAATTTCGACCCATTTTTGCCCATTTTCGAAACTTGACTAGATATGTTTTCTTGTCAATTTCGAACCCTGGGACTCACTTCCGGTCTCGTCCCTTTGATAAATCCAACAGTCTTTCCAGAATAGACCGACGAAATATGGAAATTTTTGAAATTTTTGAAAAATTTGTCTTTAAAACCGCACAATTTGAAAATGTCGCGCGATGACCATGTATGCGCCATATTTTTGGAATCAGCACGTCAAGATCTACTTCCCTGAATTTTTTGAGATTTTTTGACAACTATTTTAAAAGTGAAATTTTTCCAGTTCTACCAAATTCTTCAAATTTCGACCCATTTTTGACCATTTTAGAAACTTAACTAGATATATTTTCTTGTCGAGTTCGAGACCTATGACTCACTGCCGGTCTCGTCCCTTTGTTAACTCCAACAATCTTTCCAGAATAGACCGACGAAATATGGAAATTTT